GGTCCTCGGGGTCCAGTGGTTCCTCCTTAATGCTGATGTGGTGCCTGCAAGCAGACGAGAGAGCTCGGAATAGCACTTGAGTTCTGCTTTCACACACACACACACACACACACACACACACACACACACACACACACACACGCTCGCAGAGAGAAACGGGAACAAAAACAAACGTCTGGCTCCGATGAGGGGGCGAGTGGGGGGGCCTCGCTGGCGCTGGTGATAATTTCTGCTTTCTTTTGAGGTGTTCCAACGCGGCGGAGCTGAGGGGCTTTTTATTTTTTATTTTCCCGGCAGCCGACAACAAGCTATTCACTTCGGATTGATGAATGAGGAAGATTAAGAACGTGCGACGGCGAGGAGAGAATGGACTCGCCGTTGTCGGCCTCCTGGTGGCGGCGGATCAGCGGCGCGCTGTGTGTTCCCCTTCCTGCTCGTTAACATGCACAACCTGCGAGGCGGGTCCCCGGAGGACGACCCCGCGCCGGCTTCTATCATTAATCAACTTCAAGCAAACACGGCGAGCAGACACCGCCGCGCGCGCTTTAGACTCCTGAATTAATGCATATTTTCAACCGAGTGTCAATAAGGGAAGAACGGCGCTGGCAGGAGAGGCGCGCCAGCAGAGCGCCGCGATAAGAAACGCAGCTCTTATGAGAATAATAACGCTGTCACTTGTAAACAAGGCAAAAACACGAGCCCCCCCCCTCCGAGCTCACAGCCCGGGCAAAAGAGCCACTAAAGAGATGAGATCTGCCAAATTTCTCATTACAGAAACAGAGCAGGGATAAAGGAGCTGGGGGGGAACTAAATAAATAAAGAACAGGAGCATCATGAGCAGCTGCAGGGGACCGGCTGCTCTGACCCGCGCTGCCACCGGGCTCATCTACTGCCACGCCGAGCGGCACCTGGCACGCGCTCCGTCAGCGGCTCGTTCACGTGATTCCACGGCGACGGAGACGCTCGCATGCTAATGAGCTGACATGTTTTGTGTGCAAACCATAAATAAAAGAGAAAGGGGGGGAGAAAAAGTAAAGTCAGCTTTTCTTTCACATCAAAGTAACTCCACAAGTTGCCTCAGGTCGGACTCTGTGGCTTCGGGCCAGACATGAAACTGTTATTATTATGCTTATTGAGCTGCATGCTGATTCTACACTTTGCTTATAATTAGTCTTCTCTGGATACCTGAATGTAGCCTGAGAGAGAAGCTGCATCCCGTCACGTTAGTCCAGAGCACGAGGACGAGGACGCCGCGTGCGGCATTTAGTGCGCGCGACAGAACAAAGTTCTTAAACAGCAAAAGAAAACAGATTGAAGTGATTCTGTTCTTTCATAAAGCTCATAGACATAATTATGGTGGTTTGTGAGCTGCATCGGCCTAAAGATAGAAGCGGGGGGGCAGAGGGAGAACCTTCAGGCCAGCACACCCATCCTGTCTGCTTCCTGTTCCACAGCCACGCTCACACACATCACCTTCCTCCACCAGCTCCCTGCTGCACAGTTCACCCTCAGCTCAGACGTTTCAGGGGGCCGGCGCCCACATCTGGAAACCATGCAGCGCGTGCCGTGTTATTTTAGGCCTCAAACAACTTCGCAGACACCCCAAGACGACAAGCTGCAACTGGGGGGCGGGAGGGGGGGCGTCGGTGCGGTTTCCCGGCCGACCACAACTTTCCTACATGCGAATCTCGGATGAAGTCTTGCGGACTAATTACCCGTCGTGTCGCTTTTTCTTTCAGCGGTTCGGAGGCGTTTCGCTTGCGCGTCGCGGCCAACAGCGTCGGGGCATTTTGTAAACATTTTAACAAATGGGAAGGTGATTACGGCGGGAAACACGGGGGGGGGGGGGTCCATGAATTCCCTCTTAAAATAACAAAGGGGGCTCCGGCCTTTTCTTCCTTCAAAAAACAAAAAAGAAAAGGCGGAGTTTCCGTTGGCTGCACGGAGGCCGACCACAGCTCTGGCCCTGACCCCACTCGCCACTCCTACATAATCCTCCTTTACTTTATTTACTGCCCTCGCTGCTTCTGTTTCATCTGGTGCCACGCGGCGGGGCGCTTTACAGCATTTTGGGTGGGCACCGAGGTCTATTTCGGGCGCCGCTGTCTCGGTGGAGTGAGACGGCGGCGTGCCACTCACATAGCTAGCAGGGGCGAGCGTCCCGGGCTGCTGTCACTGCCGTTGCTGTTTCCATGGTCCATCGCTCCGTTCATCTCCTCGCGGATGGCGTTGGCCAGGGAGTGGAGGGTGGGACTTCCAATGGAAGCAGTAGTGTATAGAGGTATGTTGTTTTCTGCCATTGAAGCCTGAAAAGCATTAAACGGGAAACGGAAGAGGCCTGTCAGCACTTTCCCGGTTCCCCATCACTCTTTTCACACCCCCTTAAAAACAGAGAGTAGGTGACTGGGCATGTGGGCTTGTTATTCTTCTCTTAACGCTCCCGGCTGAGGATGAGGTTACCTGGAAGGCAGCAGAGAGGGTCGGACCGTAGCCCAAGCTGGTCTGAATGTTCTTTACTAAGGCTGGACTTCTGCAAAGAGAACACAATCCAATTACAACCACAGACTCGTGTCTCGGGGGGCATGCATTCCTCAGCAGCCGTATCCGATTCCATAAAAAGAAATCAATGCACTTTGTATAAGCGCTAAACACATTTACTGCTGCTGTAATGTGGCTACGGTTCTAAGATGTCCAATCACTTGACAACACCACACGACTATCTTTGAGAAGAAAGAACAGGTTGATGGAGGCCTGTGAGGGCGAGATGCATGAAGCTACACACACACACACAAAGCACGATGGCAACACTGAAGGTGGGTGGGGGAACATGCAGGTTTGGGCCTCAGGGGTTTGCGGGCGGAAGTGCTTACTGTACGAGCAGCTCGTCGGCGGCGTTTTTCCGAGGGCGGCCCCGCTGCACGTGGCGGCCGCGCTTAAACTCCTCATCATCAACGGTCCAAAAGGACCCAAACTCATCCTCTACTCTCACAAAGCACTTATGCAAGGAAAGGTTGGTGCGAACGGCACCCTGGGAAAGCAAACCAGCGGAGGAGGGGGGGGCGGGAGGGGGGGTCGGGCAGCCAGATGCAGATGCAGTGATCGACACAGACAGAGGGAGGGAGGGAGGGAGGGAGGGAGGGAGGGAGAGGGTGAGGATCAAGATAAATAATAAGGCCATCGTGGGGTTTGAGGCATCACCAAAAAAGGGCTTCTGAAAGCACGAAGGGGAGGGCACGCCAAAGCAAGCGGGGACGTGATGGCACACAGCACAATGAAGATGGGAGCAGCAGCCTCTTCCCAGCAGCAGAGCGGAGGACAAAACCTACCCGCTGATCTTCTGAGGCCCGTCTCTTTGGGAACTCTAGTTCGTGCGACTGTCCACACAGCCCCTTTTACGTTTTCTACTCGCCACAAAACACTTGTGAAGACTAAGATTATGGCGCACTGCGTTCTGTTGAATGTGATGTAACACAATGTAACAGATAGAGAAAGGGTACGCACCGATACTTTTACCCGATCTGCGGGTGTGGGGGCGTGTGTACAACCTCATTTCAAAGGAGAATTATTTCAACAAGCACTGGATGAAAACAACAGATGAACCACAATGTTATTGGCAGGAAACGGTCCAATAAAAACTTTGAAACATCTTCAACATGTAAATATTTATGGGTTTCCATGGCAATAGAGTCAGTGGCGTTTGTTCTTCTTTTTGCCGTCCAGAGCAGCTTTTACTTTTCTGGTAATCGACCCATCACAACGTAAGACATGTGGCGTGTGTATCACAGCTGGTGGTAATAACACCAACGTGCCCCCATTTAAAAAGGCCTGCGAGAGCTGAAGGAGGACGGGGGTGAAGCAGGGTGGTGTGTGTGTGTGTGTGTGTGTGTGGCTCGGTTGGAAAACGGAGCGTTCCCTTCTGTGAGTGAGTGCGAGGGGCTCAGCCAGGAGTCACTGGCAAGGCCCCCCAACGCTAAGCTAACGCCACGCAGCAGCACAACATCCCCAGCATCACACAGGAGTCTGTGAGCTTTTTTGTTTGAAGAGGGGCTCATTTGGACAGAAGAAGTGGAGGCTGTTATGTGTTCGGCTGAAGGTTTTACGTTTCAACATCTCTACTCTGGTGCTCTTTAAAGGAGGAAGGAGGAGGAGCAGCATTACCTTCCACGTCGCCGCGTTGCGCCTAAAATATGCAAACATTCGTGTGAACCAGTTGTAGATTTCGTTTAGTGTTAGCTGCTTTTCTGGAGACTCCAGGATCGCCTGCATGAGGAACAGTGACAAGAAACAAACATTGAACCTTCACGCACTGATCAATAATTCACCAGGAGGCCTGCGGGTTTGTTTTCTCCGTGTGAAGTGTAACCGCTTTACTCCATTAGAAGCCGGCCGCACTTTCTCGCCGGAAACCGGCAGATTTGAATATATTTTCCTTTGTGGGTGTAAATGAAGGGCGAGCAAAAACATTTCTCAGGCAGATTACAGGGGCAGCAATTATGGCCGGCTCAGATTAATTCCTGAGATCCCAGATTACTGCGGCCCGGCAATAATTGACTGGCCATCTTAAAACAGGTTCATCCCCACTGTTGTGTGAAATGGATTTTGTAATAATCACAGCCACAGAAACGCTTAATCAAATGCAATTGTCATATGTGGCCGTATGTTCTTCTTCTTCTTTGAATCCCGTACGCATTCTTGCACTCATTTGAAGATGCTTAATCTGCTCTTCGGTCTAAATTGCATTCGGAATTTAACGAGGAGCGAGGGCGGAAATAAGTGGAGCAAATGCAGTCATGTGGCTTCTGGAACGCTGCATTTCCCGCTGCGAGCGGCGCGGTGTGCGAATGTGTTCGGCGTCCTTACCTGTCTTATTAGTGAGGCGTATGTGAACGGCGGTCGAACGTCCGCGTTCATGTAAAACTCTTTGTTCTGACTGAGATCTGCACACAGGGGGACAAACGCAGAGCGTCAGCAGGCAGCAGGACCACGAGGATCCGTCCGTCCGTCACCGTCATCACGCAGTACCTGGAGAGATGGGCATGTTGTACTTCTCGGAGTAGCGGCGCCGCATGGGGCCCACGCTGTGGAGGCTGTTGGCTGTGATGACGGAGTGCGTCTGGGACAGGGGCGTGAGCGGCGCCGTGGGGGTGGTGGGGGTCTGGGGCAGGCTCAGAGGAGGGGAGGCCTCGGGAGCCGATTTGGACAACGTGACGTTGGACACCAAGTTGAGCTGCAAACGGAGAAAAGACACAGTTAGTCCTCTAATGACCGGCGGCGGCTCGTTGACGACGCGTCTCCCCGCTAATTACGGACGCGCCCAGAGATGATCCATGAACGTTTGCTAAACGTTTGGAAGCCTTCGGAGGCCGGCAGCTCGGCTCCCCACCTCCTCCCGTCTTCACCCTCCCTCCCTCCCGGGGGGCCTGCACCCGGCTTTTCTGTTCCACCGCCTTTGTTTAATCTTTTGTCCCTCTTGCCCTGTTTGGACAACCGCCCCCCTTCTTCCCCATCCACCCATGGCAACCGGCGAGGGGTTGAGCGGAGGGAGGAAGATGGGCGGCCCGAGCCGCTCTGACAGACGCCACCGTGTGTCTCACCCGCGGCTAACAAGGCAGCCAGAGGAAGGAGCCAATCTGGGCTAATTACAAGCTGAATCGTATTGTGAGGGCTCTAATTAGGAGCTGCTTATGGAGGTGATCCGATGATTAACGGCTGTATCTGACTGACCTCCATCATCAGGGCCGTTTCCCCTGGAAGGAGAGTATTTGGCCGCCCGTGAATGCCGACGGGTTGGCCGGCCTGACGAGGAGGCGGGACTTAAGCGATAATGGCTGCAAGGTAAACTAATTACGGCGAGTGCTCCAAAAGGTGCAGCGTAGCTCGCAGCGGCTGCCCGCGCCGCCGCCGCAGCAGTCAAGTGGAAAATGCTACCGTGACCCCGCTTGCTCCAGCTATTAATTGGCAGGAAAACTAATGACACATATACATATTCCCACAAAATTGTCCTAATTGCTAATTTGCCAAAGGAGGCCAGTATCCAAATGAAACATGAGTTCAGACTGTAAGCTGGGGACACTGTGTGAGAGGACACGTCTCATCCTGGACATCATTTGTTGATTACAAGGGATCCGGCCGCCGAGACCAGCTGATCGTCCTGTGGAGCTGAATGAGGGTTTGAAGGCGGACAGGAGACGTCTGAACTACAGATACGACACGTCTCTTTTCACACAGACTCAATGTTCTGGTTTCTCATCAATTCCATTTTTTTTTTATTCAACAAATAAATGTGGACCAATACTTGGTCTTTCCTATTGTCTCACTTCCACAGACATGGGTCCAACTCCTCACAATGTCTATTTATGCTGTGGGGCTGAACTATGGCTTCTGGCATCGTCTGCCTAAATAATTTGGATTACTGTGGGATGCACGGACCACAGAGCACATGCTCACCAACAGCAGCAGAAGACGTGTTATTCTGAATCATGAGCAAAATAAATCACACTCGGGCTCGCGTGTTTCTGACACAATGCTATCAATAGACGGGGGGCCGCCGTGTTGACTCCTCTTCCTGTGGATTAGCGGCCTTTGTTTCATGTTTCATCCATATTCCCCGGCCATAAACACAGAAAGGCTTCCACAATAGGCCAGACAGGCTGGTAATAGCCTCGCCTTTGTTTGCCTCACCATTTGGGCTCACTCCAGTGCGACACAAAATGAGACTTCAGTCTGAAATTAATTAAATGGTAATTGGTGATCTAATTATACTGGCTTTGACTCGGCAAGCTGCTAAAGAAAATAAACAAAAAGTCCCTCCTTAATTATGTATGGAGTAAAAGGTCAGATTTCTGACAAGAATGCTTAGTGACACCGAGTGCAGAGCAGACCCCCCACCCCCCCCCCCACACACACACACACACGCTGGCAAAAACACGTGCACAGGCGGACAGAAACACACACTGCTAATGTGGCACATTTTGTTTTGATCTCATCCACCTCAGAGGAGCAAAATGAATCCCATCCGTTTGTCGGCGTTCATGCACGGTATCAGTTTATTTGTCTTTAATTATGAGTAAATGTAAACAAGCTACTTTGCCGTGACAGTTGACTACTCACACGCAGCGTTATTAAACGTAACAGCACCGAAGGGCAGAAATGCAGAAACTAGCAATTACTGGAAGGACCCGTTAGTTTTTCCAGGCGGCTGCGAGAACCTTTTCATTTTGCATCTGCTCAAAGGAGGCTTCCTTTTTTCCTTTAGTGGCAAAAACCTCAGCGGGGTCACGCGCGCTGACCTGTGCAAATCCACCACAGCCGAATCAGACGTGTTCTTTGGTAGCGGCTCGCAGCAGGCAGAGTCTATTTATTTGAATAAAAATCCCAGCTCGTGTTGAGCGCTGAGCTCTGATGCCGGGGGGCCGGGGAGGGGGGGGGCAGTGAAGTCAAGATGCTATCTGCTACCCGACCCCTCGTTCTGCACTGTAATCCACCCCATCAGTGCGCGCGACACAGGCGGCCTTTTGTCGTTGCGACGTCTCCGGGCGCTTTGCGTTGCCACGTTCTCTCTGACTGTAAATAAATGATCCAAGCTGCGCGGCGTGCTGAGAGACGAGACTCCCGCATGAGCGCCGCGCACGGTTTCAGATTCACGCCCTGCAGTAAAACTATGTCAGAATTAACTGTCACACGGACTGAAATATGGCGCGAGGCCTGCTGCTTAAACATGACAAAATAGCGCAGACACTTGAATGTTAAGCCGTCGGCCCCACAGGACGGGGATTAACAGGAGGCTTTATGGCGTGGCGTATATTAAGAGTGATAAGCACGACGCCTGGAATGTGTCACGGAGATAATAAATGGATCTGCTTTTGCATTTTTTCAAAAGTTCAGTTGTTCACCTGGACAATATTTGGGTGAATCAACAACATTTAGGTCAAAACTTCAGCTCACGCAATAACAGTGACGGGGAGATGTTTTTACTTTTTACTTAATGTAATTTTACTAATTACTGTTAAATTACCATGAATGAAGAGTCAATATTTAAATCAAGATCATCAAAAACACCAGCTAGTAAACTTTGATTTTATATCTTATAGTTATAAAAAAAATCTGTCAATAATATATTATTTGAATCCCTTTTTATCATTTAATATTTTTTCCTTTTCGCTCCTCCCGCCAATACAAAGTTGCACAAATATATCGTTGGTATTTTAATAAATTGTTCCTATATTTTACGTTACCTGGCACATAGCACCTCTGTAACTTTTCTTTTAAAAGCCTAAAAATAAAGGTTAAATTATCCCTTTAAATTCAGCATATTTTATTGCCACTGATGTGCTTTCCTCCTCCCTCCCGTCTGGCCGAACAGACCCGGCGCTCTGAAGCTGTTACAGCGCGAGCATCCAGTTCATCACAGGCACCAAATTGAATCTCGGATGTCAGTAGATGTGGTGCAAACAATATTTACTGCCTCCCTCAAGAGAACAGCTGTTTTTATTTAGCAGATAAATAAGAAGATGGAGGAAGGGATTAATGAATACACGTGTGCCAATTAAGAGGAACAAAAGGACGGGGGAGGGACGGGGGAGATGACAGGATGGCTGCTCACCGGCTGTGGGGGGGCTTTGGGCTCCGTGGACTTGACATGGAGGTGCGTCATCATGGCTTGCAGACGCTCTTTGTCTTTCGCCAGCTGTAACGTGGAGAGAGAACATGTTTTTATCAACTACGGAGACAAAGAAATCGATTTCTCTAGTTTTATGAATTCCCAACACCCCTTTGCAGTGAAGGCATCTTTCCCAAAGTGCTTGTTCGAATAAACCCCCCTCTTGGCACTGTATAATTATTTACTTTTAAAAATGCTTTTGGAAGCTGTCAACCACTTGGCACTTCAAGTCCATTTCAAGGTTAAAATGTACAGCGCCTCCACCGCCGATAACAGGCCGGGCCCGTTCTACCTGTCGAGCCGCAGCGCTGTCCTGCCTGCCAGCTCACATTATGTTGATGGGCTGCATGCGGAGGGAGTCTGTGTCTGTAAAGCTCCGCTCCATCCCTCTAATACGCCTCCAGAGCAGAAATAACAGGACGCTGGTGTGGTGTAATGTTTGAGCAACTCTCTCGCTCTCATTGTGTTAACGTCCAGAAACCAGGATTTACACCCATTATCAGGCCTTTTTGGGGGAGAGAGATGTGAAACTGTGTGAAATCTACAAGGAAATACATCTGATCCTTATTCACTTTGCAACTGTAGCAGCAGCTAATTATAAAAATGCTCTTTTATGGGCTGGTTGGTTTTATTTTGTCCTTAATACTAACAAATAAATGATCTTAGTTGTCATTTGGCACACAGACAAACATCTGACTTTTACCTTAAGTGCAGACTTTTCTCTTTGCTATATAGAAAGACAATGAAGTGTCACACACAGGAAAGAGATATTAAAACCACTGATTATAAAAAGGTTTTTTCCTCGGTGGGCTGCAATAATCTTTCCTTTAGGCCGCTCAACATTGAGCGCCTATAACACACTGTGCTGCCCAGTCATTCCACCCAGTGTTTTACTGTTGCTGCCACGGTTAAGAGTCATAAATAACTTGAAAATCCAGTAAAACTCAAAATGCAATTATCTTCTCTACTTAGCCCCAGGCCCCTTCATATATCCTGCTTGTCATGCATACATAACCCATTTTTTAATGACTGGTTACATGCAGATGCACAGACTCTGTGGCCTGCGTGGCCCCTTCCCGTCCCGCGAGCCGTCCCCACGGCCGATATCAGACGTGTGTCAGGAGGAGAAGACACATAAATATTTGGGCCAAAACAAACAGAGACAATACCTGCAGCTCCAGCTGTTGTACGACCTGCATCTGCACCCGACACTGGGCCGTGCTCCTGTCATCCAGGGCGTGCTCATTGTTAAGATGCCTGCAAAACAAACACACAAAGAGCTGATGTCAGTCGGGACTTTTGACTTTTGGCAGACTTTTAGATGTGGGAAACAAAAAAAGACGCGTGGTTTAATGGCGCCACGTCCATGTCCCCTACGTCTCTGTCCCAACGCACAGAGACGAAGGGGAATATCACACAGAGCTTCGACATCCAATATCTGCAGAAGCGGAAGATGCTGCTTCTTAACGTATGAGAGTGACTGACTCTATTTCATGGCAGTTCTGTCCAGCAGACAAGAGGGACGACTGAAGATTTCCAGGTCGGACTCCTCTGCTGCGTTGTGCTCCGGCGCCCGGATGCCTAATGCCTCCCTTCTCGGATCCGGGCGCCTTTTTCTTCGTGTTTTTTCCTTTAATTGTGTAATTAAGAGAATTCAAATGGAAGCCGGACCAAATGCAGAGGACAACAGGACGAGGAGATGGGATCTGTCGGCGAACTTGAATTATGGATCTAATTATGCATGATTATTTTATACAGGGGACAATGTTCCCTTTTTCCTGCTCGTTTAGAACTAATCTAAATAAGTAGCTCGCTGCGTAGCAGACAGGGTATTTTTTTCCTCCTCCTTTTTCTGTGATTTATATAAAATGGTGGAGATAAGGTTCACGAGTGAAGGAAATATGATTGCAGGAATTTTATCAGCCGCCGCATGAATTACTGTTTGAAAATGCTTATGCAGGGGCATTTCATTAATCATTTAATCATAATCCGAGCAGGATGTTTGAACTGATTTCACAAATACCCTTTCATTTCACTACTTCATTATGCTCGCTAATGGATCCAATATATTATATATATCATAAATTATATCACATCTTCGGTGACCATGTAGGTCACTGTCACCAGGCATGTCTGTGTGCACGCCGTGGCGCCGGCAGAGGGGAAGAGAGGTGTGTGTGTGTGTGTGTGTGTGTCGCGCCTTCTTCAAATGCGCTTTTTTTGTCGTTTACTGCAAATCAAAAAACAGCAGAGTCGACCTGTGACGGCGATACAGCCAGATAATGTCATGGTTTAATTAAGCACAGGTGGAGCCTTTCGCGTGCTCAGTGGCGGCAGTCGGGGCTGCGCTAACGTCAGATTGACTACAGGAAATTCTGTTGAGGGTGATGATAAGCCCCTTATACGCGCTAGCGGAGGGGGGGGCTCCGGGGGGGCAATTGATGGTGCTCGGCTTGAAATGTGACGGTTTCTGTTCAGCTGAAGTATTCTCAACCTTGACGTGGATGATTTAAATGTGCCCCCCCCATCCCCCCCGATTACAGTCCCCCTATTGTGTGTTGGTACATACATACGCTTCTAGTTAATTATTGTGGCAAAAAATTAAATTAAAAAGGCGTATTCAAAGAAAGCTTTGGGTAATAGCCCCTTTTGCTGAAATCAATTCAGACTTCACGTTCCAGTTCCATTTGTTTGAGTCAAATAAATGCCCCTTTAATTAAGTAGGTCTGGAGAATGAAACTGGTAAACATTTCAGGACATCTTACTAAATTTCAAAGAAGAAAATAATAGGTAAAGACATTTCAACTTCAATTTAACTGGCACAGACTGAATTTTCAATGAAGGGTGGCCTACGTGAGCAGCTTTGGAATTTCCTTGTTCGTAGGAGACGTGTGGCCTGCTTCTTTTCATCCCTTTGTTACATTCCACTTTATTTCTTCTAATGACATGGAGAGTCACAGTGCATAATTAATAGGAAATGAAATATTCAAATGGCCCTAATGCAGCCTTGGGAGGAGCGTCGGACACGGGAGCAGGATGCGGGGAATTGACATGGAGAGAGGCGATGGGCGCTGGCATGTGTCACTTTCTGGACTTCAAATGAAGCCACTTTTAAAAGCTCTCTGGCAGGATGACAGTTCCTAATGTAAATTGCCGCAATAAAACAAGTTAAACAGACATGCCGGTAACACCTCGCCCTTTTCTACATACCAGTTAGTTAGCGATTTCTTTCCCTCTTTCTTTCTAATTATATAGACCGGAGCCGGAGCTTAAGGCCGTCTCTGAGGACGCTTTATCTTCTTCACTGTGGACTTTTAAATGAGCAGGCACACATCTTTACAGTAGTATTTACATTTAAAATGCATTAAAACCCTTTTCTAATTATTCCCAGTGTTATAATCAGTCACTTTTCTTACAGGGTTCCAGCTTATATTCTACATGATTTTATATTTGGTTTATTTGGTCTTTTGGTGGTTCCAGCAGACCAGACGCTGCAGCACTAGATGGCACTGCAGTGTTTCACTAGCTCTGACCTCTGGACTGGACTCTGAAGAAAAGGGTCTTGACCCTCATAAAAAAAAAACACCGGGCTCGGCTGTGAACGGACCCGCCCCTCCTGTGAGCCCAAGGCCCCGAAAACAGGAACAGGGATCTGGCGCTTTGTATTTATGGAGATCGTGCACGTAGGTATGTCATGTTTTTCTTTAAAAGACAGAACAAATACACGCAGGGTTTAAAACAACATTTGCGCCCCGTGTTGGTTGTTGCTGTTGGCACGAGGGGCTGAAATCTGCTCCCCACGTTTCACAGCGCGTCCTGCTGACTGCACACACCTACCTCCACTTATACTTTCAACATCGCCCCGGCCTGCGGAGAGCTGCCTGATGCATTCTTTGTTTTGTGTTTGCGAGTGTTCCTGCAGGCCGGCGGGTTTCATGTGGAAGCGCTTAAGGGGTTTGAGAGTTAACACCTCGCTGAGCTGCTCTGCGCTCTCGCCCGCTGCGGAACAAAGGCGGCTTTGTGGAGAGACGCTCCCCCAAAATGTTTTCTTAACATGTTCCAAGCAGGCAACTAAAGTAAACAAGATGTTGCCATGTTAAAAGCACGTGTAACAACATCGCAGCGTGCACTCTGACTGTTTAAGGCAGAGCTGCCTTTAATTCCCCTGTCATCCATAAACAAAGGCTGAGGCGATGTCAGAATACAATAAATACTGACGGATTTAGGAGGACACTCCCTGAGCTGAAATGTGCGTCCGTGTGTGGAATACGTGGTTTAATGACTACACTGGGAAACTGCGCTCAGAGTAGATTTAAGAAAACAGCAAAGAGGATTTTTAAATGTGGACTGACGGTCAAACTTCCAGCCCCCCCAAACCCCCCCGTAGCACCTATGGCTGCGCCTGCAGGGTTCGTGTGCGTTCGCTGAGTGCTTGTTTTAGGATTATGGAATTGTGTCATATCGTGTTTAAAGTGCCACTAATCCTGGTGACAGCGGGCCATTGATCTGCTGCCACAATGCAGATGTTTTCATCTTCCCGTAACCATGGCGCTGTTATGTGTTGGATTACGCTGCAACAAAGGCCCGCGTCACGCTGGACGGTTCCCACCTGGAAAGATGCTCCAAAGCCCTTTAGTGGTTCATTGTAACGCTGAGGTGCCACAAACAGCACCACAAGTCACAGAGGCTGGAGGAAGAAAGACACACACACACACACACACACACAACCCCCCCGTCCAGTGACAAGGGCAAACACACAGTGTGTGCTGCCACAGATAAACATCCTACCGTTGTTTGTTTGGGAAAAACGGCCCCCGTCACCATGGGAACTGCACTTATCACAGGAATTAGAGGCCCATGGCGTTCTGAGAAGGAGACCCCGCCTCGGTACCCTTGTCAACCCACACTCAGCAATAACAACCGGCTGCACCTGTAGGGCCCCCGTAGTCGTGGGTTGGGGGTCACGAAACGTTCAATCGGCTCAATGCGAGGACAGAAAGAACAACCGACGCCTCCTGGCTGGGACTTTACTCACTTGAGGAATGAATAGAAGTCGTCGAACACCGCCTCACACCCGGGCCACTTGCAGACGCCGTGGCCGTAGAGCGGGTGGCTGTGGGGGGAATGGTCTTCTAGCGTGGACCTAGAAGACAAATCAACAGGGCGGAAGAGAGAGGCGGCCGTTAATACAACTTTCTGTTGACAGAAGTCCAAGGTCGCAGAGGATTGGGTTCTCCTGCTAAGCTGGTGTGTGTGTGTGTGTGTGTGTGTGTGTGTGCGTGTGTGTGTGTGCAGCTTCCACATGAGGACCCTCGCCATGATCTGTGTGGAGCTGCGTGATGTCCGCTCCTCACGCTGCGACCGGATCAATATGGTTTTATTTAGTATCACTGAGCCATGTTGCGGTGACTTTGATCAGGACTGCGTGGGGGCGTCTCTCGCTCCGACTGCTGCATCATATGCGACGGGTCACCTGGAGGACAGTGATCCGTGACATAAACCCCCCCCAAAAGCATCAGGCACCTTCCCTGTAAACATCCTCCCGCCTGGTATCAATCCGACGCCAACCAAGAACCTCCACAACATCCTCCACATGGCGAGAGGATCAGGCCGCGGCGAGTCCTGCCGCCGGCGCCGAGAGGAAGCGGCCTGTGCGGCGGACGTGTCGGGCGAGACAACAGGCCATATGGATGCGGCGCGTCACAAGACACACCCCTTCCAGCTACAGGGAGCCTGGGGGGGGGGGGGGGGGGGCGGCCGACGTCGCCGCCACCTGTGCTTCTGGAGAGCGCGCCGCCGCCGTCGCTCCTCCAGCCTGAGCGCCGCTCCCCGAGACGCCGTAGATTCATTACAGGCGCCGCCATGTGAGAATACCGCCAACCGCCGGAACCATACACACGTGTTCAATACAGAGACAACGTCCAGTACTTCAGGGGAACGCCGTCGGACGGAGAGCGGAGGGGAAGAAATGCGCGTCTCCCCCGATTTAAAGCGTTTAACGTAAGGATGATTTAGTGCGCCTGGGGGGGGCTGGCTAAAGGGGTCCGTGTTAGTAAAGGTGGGACGTCACAGGTTCCCGTGTGCTGTAATCACTCACTGAGGAGTCGTTCATAACATGTGATAATTACATGCAGCCGAGCACTCGTGAACGTGGTTAGCAGCCCCCCCACCAGCCCTCTTCTAGAAGTCTGAATTTGTATTATTCTGTGTTCAATAATGAATTATGCATTTGCATTAAGCCGCCTGTTTAGAGACAGCTAATGAATAGATGGCGGACGAGCCGTTATGATGAGCTCTTAACAAGGAACCGCGTGGACCGCTGAAGGTAACGCTGCTTTTTAATTTAAACTGTTCCCTTTTTCTGTTCAGGCCCGTTGGTTAATTCTGTGTTAATAGGAGAGTGAAATGTGGAGCGCGCTGGGACTCAGTGGCCGCAGAGCGCTGCGAGGGGCCGGCGCCAGAAGAGCCCCTTTAAACGCCGGATGGCTAAACAGTAGTAAATGACAGAATTTACACCAAATGAGCTGCATTAGTGTAATGGGAGGAGAGGGGAGGATTCATGGGGTGTTCTCCCATTTCAGACGGCGTTGCAGGGGGAGGGAAATAAAGCAATGAAGGAAACGGCTGCGCGGTTCCCCGCGTTGCGTTAAATTTGACTTGCAGCCGGGACAGGTTCTGTCAGGATGTTATTATTGCCTGGCAGCCCGGAGGAAGGAACGCGCGAGTGATCTCGTACCAGCGATGAGGGGAAAGAAAAACGTGCCATCGGCTTCCTTTAGCTGCATTGCAGCGCCTATAGATCCGGACGGAAAGGTTGACTCCCGACAGCCGCCCGCCACTTGTTTTCTACTGCACTTCTTCTGATGAGACGCTCGGGGCCCTGAACAAGTCATGATCTATGACATCGCGTGCCGATGGATTTGATCTATGAGCGGAGACAAAAAATGAAGAGGGAAGATTTGACCCCAATGTGTGAGAAGCTCCATGCTCCCCTTCTGCTCGGTGCCACTGCATAGTTCACCCTAAATGATTCCATCAGCTGTTGTTTCTTCCTCTGGTGAGAGACGAGTGCTGTGCCAGATCTGATTATTTATCTCCTTAACAGATAGCCGTGTTACAGTCCCCGAGCTGTGGTTACTGATGGTTGTTGGGAAGAAAAGTGGGCCAAGTGCTTTGTGATGCTTCCTCCCCCTCCTCCTTTACAAAGCTGATGCAGCGCTGTATTGGGAATTTGTGTCAGATACAGATCAGCCACATTTCATTTAAATAAGCAAATCATTGAATAAAGATGACCTGGCCCGCTGGGGGGGGAAACATCTCGGTCTGTGCAGCAGATGCCGGCGAGCGGCACCAACCGACAGATTGAGTGACTCGGGCCGGGTCGTATCGGAGATCCCGGCCCGCGAACACAAGGAGAAGCCGATGCACGAGCCCCCGTCCTCGCCGTGTGTCAGGCCGGCAGTGATTGAATTTCTCCTCCTTCCTTAAGACGGAAGTGCAAAGCCGGTGAGTGATTCCTGTGGATGCACTTAAGGTTTTAGTTGCAGGCGTCGTTGTGCCTGGGCAGATTTTATATGACACATGAAACTAACTACACGGTACTTAGGGCCTGCTGTAAACCAATCTGAAGCCAGCCGGGAAAACAGGCCCATCAGCAGAGAGGCTTGTTTCTGTTGCATGACAAAAGGACTCGCCAAACCGCATCAATTAAAAGTTCATTAAGTTCAGCGCTGGGAGGATGAGGGGATGCTCTCTATTTACGGCCCGGCCGGCCCAGCCCATTATCTTCAACCTGATTATTCAAATCCCTGGATTATAACACAGACGTTTTCTCAGAGCCGCGCTTGGAATAAGCGAACTTAATAATATTTCATTTCCCTTCCCGTGGTGTCTGATTAGAATGGAGTCATCGAACGGAGAGGAGGGGGAGCTCTGGATGAATTGTGGGATTTGAAGTGTTCCAAAAAACGAACGCAGGTATTATTGACAGCGTGGATCTAAATTCGCACCATCAATAAGCAGCGTGTTCATTTTGTATCAGGAGGTGTGCAGGTAATCCACCAGTCCCTCCAGCAGACGGGCTGCATGAGAATCACCTGCTTGGTTTTCTGACAGATCTAAGATCCTGCAGGGAATATTCAGGCTGCCTTCCTCACTTAAGCTTGTGTTAAACTGCTGTTGACATCTTCTTTAATGTCTGGCAGTCGGCGCGAGGCAGAGGGGCTGCCAGCTCTCGCATTATGTCTCCCCCCATGTTTCATGCAGCCCTCAGCGAGACGGATTCTCGCCTTTTCCCATCGACGCTCACCTTGTTTGCTCGCCTGCGACAACGCGTGATGGAGGGAGCGAATCAATACCCTCCCTTGCGATTTGCGTTCTTCTTTACTGACTGTGGATGAAGGACGTGAAGCGCGTGGAAACCGTCAGCTGTGGGAGCGACTGACGCCCATTTTTGTGTCTCGGTTTGTCTTGTAAGACAGTAAAAAGAAGTGCGCGCAGGTAACGGCCACCGATGCTTCAAAAGAAACTACTATCCTTTCCTATCCTGCATCAGCAGATCACAGCGTTTCCTCTCCAAAGGCCTCAGATCTTCTCTACACCCCCCCCCCCCCACCAGCAACCCCTCTTCAACTGGAAAGGCCTCCTGGTTCTCGGGGCTAAACATGCATTGAGCGTAACACCAGTCAGATGTTGCGCGTGAGCTGCAGGTGCCTGGAGGCTCCTCACCAGCCGCTCAAAGACCTTCGGTGCAAGAAAACAAGCAAATGAATTCCCCCTTAAAGACGCTGGGGGAGCAAACCCCCCCTGACGGGTGAGTCCTCCTGGTTGTGAGAAGTACGATACGCCCGTGGTTTCGTTGTTACTGCCGCATAACAACACAATCACTTGTTTTTCTTGGTGTGACAGGTGATGATTCACGTCAACAAGTTGCCCTGGAACTGGTTTGACTTTCTGAAGCGCTGATGTTCCCGACGTCACAGCTGTATTGGTGGAAACCAGGGCAGGGGGGGGGGTAGGTTGCCCTGAACACCCCCCTATTAACGGCACGCTGGTCCCAGTCCTCCAGGTGTTCCTGTGAGTCCAGGCACATAGAACACTGCGCCGGCCTTAATGAAAATAATACTTACACACTCTGAATTAGGCAGAGTCTGTGGGGACGTGTCTATCAATTGGGGCCCTGTGAGAAATTGCTAGTTTAAATGGGGACATATAAAAGGCCTTCTGTTTGCTTTACACCAAAGAGCACAGTGAAGACTGTTTAATTACCCGTTGAAGGTGACAAATAAGCCGAGGGACTGGCGCCCTTCAAAAGCTCTCGCTGCATAAAAAGCAACCACGCAGCTCGTGTGTCTCCGCTGACCCTCGTTGTGCGACGTGAGAGAACAAGGACGCGCGACATGAAACGGAAGCGCGGGACTCACCCGTCTCGCTTGTGACTCATGTACTGCCCGTTGGTGGAGGCGTGCTGGTTGAGCGGCGGGTTCTTTGGCGTCGCCGGGGAGGACAGGTCGAGGCCCCGGTGGCCGTTGTTGATGCTGTTGTTGTGGTGGTGGTGGTGGTGCTGCTCCTCCTTCACGTGCGCATTGGTCACCTCCTTCCACAGCTGCTGCAGCTCGGCTGGAATCATGCCTGAGACAAACAAATTGGATAATTAAATCAATTAACAGCTAATCCAGCTCTCCTCTTCATCACTTAATTAAATCAAAGCGTCTGTAAACAAAGCGCAGTATTAATTAGAACATATTCCACTACAGCGTAAAGCACGATCGCCCCCCCCGCACCCCCCCGCTCCGCCACCTCCTCCCGATTTCTTCCCTGTGATCTGGAGCGTGTTTGTATACACAAATCCGTGGCATTCACGCAGATTTCATGCCCAGAGTAAATAATTAACACCCAGACAAGGCATGAAATCCGAATAATCACCATCATTTTCTCACAACGGAGCGGCGCAAAACATACACGAGAAGAAAAAAAAGTTTACAATAGCGACACTAGAAAACATCCCACCCCTCCCTGGGAAACGGGACCCGGGGGTAATATTCTCAAAAGCGCATTAATGTGCAAAATACTTAAAGCTCTGCACCGCCTCCAATTGACACAGAAGACTTAAAGCTCATTTAACGAGTCAAGCACACTGCAGCTCACGCAGCCCTTTGAGAGAAACAAGAAAAGAAGGATCCCTTGAAGACAGACAACATTTCTTGTGTGTTTCTTTCCCTCTTTGGGGCTGTGAGTGACAGCGACGCCGACACGCAGGGCCGCAGTCGGGACGGAGCAGGATAATGGCGTGTTTGTGCTCCCCTCGCTCCGTGTCTTTGTTGGACGCACAATACACGTGTGACCAACTACGCTGCGTCTGTTGCCGATATGTAAAAAATGAGATTAAGCCTCACGGGCGCAGAATCTCTGGCTATTTTGTATTTTTCAGTCAAAACGCCGAGCGTCTGGAGACCCCTGATTGTAACAGCATTCAGGGGGAGCTAATGGGGGATGTGTGTGTGGATTTGCATTAGCGACGGTAAATCTGTGCTTGAATAAGCCGCGCGTTTGAAGCACGGCGAGAAAAAAAGCCCTCGGATACGTGGCGAGTTTAACCACGGAGCAAATGGGCAAGGCTGCTCATTTAACATTACAATTAATTAAATCCATTCTCAAAATGAGCACTGGCGAATGAAAGATAATTCGCACACGCTTATCTTCTGGGGTTTATATTCTCCGGACCCCTCGCGCCCCCCCGTCCCCGCTTCTCATCACCCGCTCGACAGATACCAGAAGTGCTCCTTTCAAGCACCACATTGTGTGCAAAATGCTTAGTCTTAATTCATCCCTGTTGTGGAAAATAACGGCGAGGTGAAGATCTCAATACGATCAGCGAAAAAAACTATTTTTAATTTGATAAGCTCCTAAAGATTTTAATTATGCTGGTAATGGAGAACATTGGCCTAATGAGGCGGAGGACTCTGGAGAGACGAGCGGCTCACCACTGTGAAATGAGTCTGATAGGATTGCTGTAAATTCACACCAGATCGTTTGCATATCAAAGAGCAGGAAATGATTACAGGACAAATCAATAAGCTCTCCACGTTCTTCCCTCACTTGAATATCCCCAACACGCCCGGCCCGTAGTCTCCTCAGCGCCTTGATGTGTCCTAATCGAAGTGCACGTCCATGACAGGCTAAACACGCTTCATATTAGCGCTCGTGCTGTAGCGCGCTGATCCGCCGCGCGCTCGTCCTCGCCCGCTTCTTCAAAGGACCCGTTGTTGTCTCGATGCTGCGAGGAGAACTTTCCTCTGTGGCGGCTGGTTTGGAAGCGGAAGGTCACTGGTGCTGCGAGTGTCCTGCGCTCCGACAGCGGGAATAATCATTTGCCCCCCCCCCCCCCCCTCCCCCCGGTGCCCGGTGACAGTGGGGGAAGTATTTTTAGCCGATGTGCTTGACAGGGCGGCCCGCGCCGGCTCAATTACCCAGCGGTCCTGGTGACCCCGGCGCCGCTGTTTACTCGATGTGGAGCGGTCTGATGAGAGACGTAGCGCCCGCCCCCTCCTCACGCGTAACCTCGGCCCCTCAGACGTGAGATGACAATAACACAACACCAGCGTCTCGGAGGGGATGATGTTTTGCTGTTTTGGGCAGAACGCATTGAGTTGCTCTCCATCTGATTACTGCGGGACACATAATGACGTCTGGACATCGTCTTCCTCGGGTCCCCCGGCCCGTCCGTCCTTTCAATGCCCGATTGGTTTATCTCCCCTCTTTCCATTTTTCAACACAACTACTCCACTCATTACGGCCCGGGAAACACGGACCAGCACTTTAAAAAATGTATGTTGTTGGGACACTTGATTGATCACCGGCCTCTCAACTCGATTGTGCCTCTGCAGGGAGGAGACGGGCCGAGCTCTTCAACCTTTTCCCGTCCTTGTCCCGCTGTACCCAGGTGACCGTGTTCGAGCAGGCGGAAAGTTGATTTAAGGTTCATAATGACATCAGTTGCAGGCCATCATCCCCCAAATAAAAAATGGCCCCCAGAGCTCCGGGCCCTTTAAACCAAGCTGTTACTTCTCACACGCGGCGCCGTGGGGAGGGCGGGGGGGTTCGGTGACATCGCTATTAGTTTATTGTTCCGTCGGGCTGGGACCTTTACTGCCCCCCTGTTTATGTTGCCGTAATCACTGGCCCGCTGATGTGCGGCCCTCACACCCCTTAGGCCTGAAATATGTCCCGTCCTGATGCAGCGGTCCACTGCGGGACGTATCAATCACTGACGGGTCACCCGCCGCTGTCGCCGCCGCGCTGTGAGCACTTCATGGCTCGCCACGTTCTTTGCTTTCGTTTTACCGGCAAATTTGTCTTGTCGCCGTCCCCACTACCCCCCCCACCCCCCCCCAGACAGCTTAACTGATGTGGTGCTACAAGGAGAGTGTGAGCATGAACACGGGACAAACACGCAACACCTGAACAACAACGTGACCCACTCATCAGGTCCAGAGGGGGGGTTGTGATCCTCCCCAAACACATTGTTGTAATTTATAGCAGACACCGTCTGGCCGCTTCCAAGACTTTGTCAAAAGAATTTACGGCAACAGAAACAAATTATTGCTGCGGATAATGTGAGCAATTGTTTTTCAGTCGGCGGCGTTATCTGCAAGTTGATACTTAATTAGCGCTATCAAACGTTTCAGAGGCCGATTCCAACGCATTCCTTCGGCCCGCTGCTTGTTGGGAAACACTAAATAAAGGAGTGCGTGTAATCTGACTCGCTAAGCAGCAATGAGGCACCATTACAGCAGCTAACGGAGCCAAAGAGGCTCCTGCCTTTCTTTCCTGACCTCATATCCGACAACATTTTGGCCTTTTCATCGTCTCGTCTCATCGCGTAGCATTAAAAACTCTAATCAATTACAATTAAAATCAGCAGCTTTAAACGTCACGCCAACTTTCTACTGCCCCGGAGTTTAAACCCACGATCATCTGGACCCAACCGGAGCAGATCAACTCATTACTTCCGACGCAGTGCTAACCGCTAGCTGGAGTGCTGCAGATAAGATCCGCGCCCCGTAGGCCCCCGTAGGCCCCCGTAGGCCCGCTCCACTGGGGCATGAAAGAGCTTATTGATGTGGAAAACAGAAAGGTCATCAACAACTGCAAACAGCGGAGCAGAAAACGTGTAGAAGAGGGAGACAAAGCGCGGGCCCGGAGCACTGAGCGCTAAGTGTTGGAACAGCTGTCCAAGGCAGCAAGTTAACCATCGACGGACGGCGACAACAAACTGACCGCCGTCAGCGACTCGCCGGGCAAACAACTGAAATCCAGCTGGGTGAAAGAAATTCCCTTCAGTCTTGGTCCCTGAGTTAAAGTTGGTGGTCACGTGATTCCTGCGCGGTTCAGCCTCAGACGGCAGCAGGCGCCCATGATTCATCTTTCCTCAGGTATTGACACAACTTCTGGAGAAACGAAGCACGTGACGAGATGAAAGAGAAACCGCTGTTTGACCGCAGTTAACGGCGGAGCTCGGCGGACGTGGACTCGCGCCCGACGGGGTAAAAGCGAGTGCACACACCTACCCGTGGCATGAGCTGAGAGGCCTCGGGGGTGTTTGATGGTGACACACTATAAACAGGATGTTCTGGGGCCGTTGTGAAATCCATCAAGAGGCTGCCTTGGCGCATCGCCACATAATGCTTTGCTCAAGGGGTGTGTGCGCGTTTGCCAGATTTCTGACACGGAGCAATTCAGCGACGCACGCTCACGAGTCAGCGGCGCTCCGCGCCCGCGCCAGCGGCGATCGACTGCGGGTAGATGAGTGATTCCATACCCAGTCCAAACAATAACAGCACTGTACAGGCCGTGTTTGTGTTTGCCTATTACCTAAGCGCACCCAGCGAGCCCTGCGCGCCTTATCGCCCTTATCTTGTTATTTCAAAACCGTTTGTTTAAGCCCGGAATGAATAGTCAATGTCATGTTCCAGAACCCTCATAACGGCGTCTTTGTCACAAGGGGAGCCACTCCTTGACACAATATCAAAGAATAAATAAAGACGTAAACTTCCTGGCCAAGCGGCACGTATTGACTCCCTATCGGGTAACAGCCGTTTCACAATGACAGGTTCACCGGCAGTTTAGCCAACAATAGATCCAGTCTTCCCTCCAGGCTGAAGGAGGCTGCCACCGGGATGCCAATCACAGGCTGCAGGGCTCAAGGACAAAGCGCGGACGTTCTCAACAGCTCACCCCCGATAAACAGGGAGCAGCAGCGCACAGTGGACGTTTGCTTTGTTCGCTGCGGCTTAATGAATCTGTCCCAGTTACTGTGGCGGAGCATCAACAGCGGCAGGTGAAACCGCTGCGGACGTACAGAGATACATGACAATGTATGTGAGCTCGGCGAGGCGCCGGGTACTGACCCTGAGTGAGGGAGTGCAGCGGCAAGCCGGTCTGTCCGGGCTGGATGGTGAGCAGCCCCTGCCTCTGAAGGTTGAGCAGATGCTGCTGCTGGACCTGCTGGACCTGCAGGAGCTGCTGCTGGAAGGCCAACTGCTGCGCTGACACCTGCTGCTGGAGACACACACACACAGGGGCATCATCAGCAAACACACATGCATAGAAAGACATACCGTAGAAGTACAAGACTCAACTTCAATGTTTGGGTTTTTATTCTTAGATTGTGGAGAATCGTCTTCATTCAAAGGAACGGTGAATGGATGCAGAGCTTTGGACCCAGTGTGTTATGTCTCCCCCTCTCCCCCCTTTCTGTGTTAATTAACGAGGAGTCGGGAGGCAAATGACAAACAATGAAACAACATAGTTAATCATTCATAATAAGAGCCACAGGAATTTAATTACAGCCATTCATAATTTAGCAAACAACATGTGACTAAATCAGAGAGCTTAATAACCACCATAGCAACTCTCCCAGGCGCGGCGCTGAGCTCAGGGATACAACCACCCCCCCACGCACACACACACGCACACACACACACACACCGGCGCCGTTCAGCCACACTGATCCCCGTGTTGTTGATTTAACTGTGATGTGGCGGTTTGGAACTTTTCTAATGAAAAGGTCTCGTGCCGTTTTCTGTGTGAAAAGGAAAAGTCTGAATAATAAATAGAAGGAAATCACCTAATCTCCCCAATCTGCTATGAGTCACAACAAACGAGGGATATGATCAAGACAGCAAGGTCACAGAGGAGCGCTGACTTTCTTCACCTTTTCGTTCCTTCTCCCGGCGAATCCACGGTGAACTCACCGACTCAGCCGGTCACCTTGTGTAGTCTACAGAATAGGGATGCGGGAGCCTCAACAGGATGCTGCCGCCCGTTTTGTGGTAATACAAGCCCAGTTGTATGCCGAAGAGGGGGGGGGGGGGGCGGCGCTGCCAAGCTGTGCGCCGCGCCCTGTTACCAAACACAGGATACACCACTTTGTTTACGTCTCACAATCCAGCGCTTACAAGGAAAAAGGTCTCGGGCGGCGCGGCTGTCAGGCCCCTGGCCTGGCTGGGATCAGCCCACGTTCAGCCTGTCAAATCCCCCCCCCGCCCCCCCCCCACCCGGCCGCTCCAGCATCACTAAAAATAAAGCTGTGGGCTGCGCTGGTCCACTGCGGCGAGCGGGGGCGTCTCATTGGATCAATCAGGGCGAGGAAGGCGCTCTGACAGCGGAGGGTCATAATCGAGGAGTAACCACGGAGGTTCACGCACTCATGTGGGGCCGAGGGGGAATATTGATCCCCTCTGATCTCTGTTCACCAGGAGGGTTTGGGTTCTTTTTTTGTTCTCGGTGAGAGAAAAGTTTCTCACGTCTTGAGTGCTTTTCTGTTCTGACAGCCCGACACAAAGACGGCGGCTACGGGGGCTCGCGAGGAACAATGTCTTTCATCAAAAACGCTAAATAAAAAGACTGAAGAAAAGAATGGAGTATTTCGAATGAATTTGACTCCGTACCCGTCACATGTTTTCTCTTCTTCCCGTCCCATCGGCTGACAGGAGCTCCTGTGCGCTCCCAGCATGCCGACACATTAAAACCCCCCAGAACCAATAGACCAAATAAGAGGTTAACAAGAAGTGGCACGAGGGGGAGAAAAATACAGTCCCTGACAAATGATAAAGAGCGACACTGGCAGGCCTTTATTGTCAAGCTTCAAATATAAAAGTTAAAGATCTTTGAAAAACTCAATTCTGATGTCTTTAAAATAAAAGAGGCACAAAGCGACAACAGGGGGTTATTGTCTGGCAGCCACAGGGGAGTCGCTGCATAATTCTCACTCTGTCTTTTGATGGCTGCTTGAGATGCGAATGGAAAAAAAAAAGAAAAGAGAAGAAGAGAAAGAAAACATCGTCGGCGCGGGAGAGCCTCTCGAGGCTGCATCCGCTTCCTGTGATCATACATAATATGCTTCAAAAGTTGGCTTTTCTTTTATTCTCCTGCTCCATTCCACTGATCAATTGCCCCCCCCCCCCCCCCCCGCACTTTTCTGCCCCCGTCCTCTTGGGGTTAAAACAGAAGCGAAACCGGGACAGGCCCCATCTTAAGGCGAGGAGCTCTTCTGTCACCTTGATTTATGGGAGCATCACACCACACACTCGGCCCAACCCGCAGTTTATTAAATAGGGAGCTGCGACTTTGAAGTTGGGCGCCGACAGGACGCAGGCGCGTGAGCGGGCGCGCGTGAGCCCCCGCCGTCATTTCACTGCGCTTCCTCCACTCCTTTCGGACGCGGACGAAAGCCGAAACGTCTTATTTCTTCTCTCCGCGGATCGTCTTTGAACTCCTTCTGACCGCAATAACAACTTGCTTTGTCCAGTGACGCCTCCTTTGCTCATTAACACGCATTAAGCTGCTGCCCGATGAGCAAACCCCGCTGTACTGAAGGGACCGAGATATATATATATATATATATATATATATATTATAGAGAGAGAGAGCGAGGATGGAGGGGAATAAATAAAATAACACGGGCAACAAAGCTGCGAGCGCTCTCTGCACTGATATCTCACAATTACATGCCTTCTCTTCCTCTGCCATTTCCATGTTAATTACCGAGAAAAGCCTCTCTGATACCAGCCCCCGCCTTCCATTACGTCCCACACCAGGCGCACAGCAGCGGCCGTCTCTTTGTTGCATACGACATTTGTGTCCCTGCCAGCAAGAAACAACACAACAACATCTGGAGGCCGAGGCTCCAGCTCCACGGAGAAAGACACCCTGTATATTTAGCACTGTATCAGTCAGCCGTTTATCCAGCGGGTCTGACATGCTAATCAGAAGCATGAGAGCACTTGACCCCTTCCCGCTCTACTCTAACCGCAGTCTGGAAGCAGATGGGGTCGAGGGAGGGAGCACACATGCCTTGCATGCTCGGTCTGGCCGACGGCTTTGGTAATGGCGGTGACGTCAGCGTACCTCTTTACTCTGCTTGCTGACCGCATGCTGCTGCTGCTGCTGTGGCTGCTGCTGTAGGAGCTGGAGGTGGAGCTGTTCCTGCTGCTTTTTGTAGAACTCTTGGAGTTGCTGCTGCAGAAGAGACGCAACGGGCGACATGTGAGTGAAAGTCTGTCACAAAGAAAACTGCGTTGTTTGATATTTGAATTTGTAATGAGTTTGTAGTAAAGGTCTGTGGCGCGAGCGTCCGATGCACATTACCTGCTGTAACATGAGGGCCTGCTGCTGCTGGAGGAGAACCTGGAGCTGCTGAGGGCTCAGGACCTGCTGCTGAAGGATTTGCTGCATCTGCTGAGGAGTTATCACTTGAGGCGTCATCATAGCCACTGAAACTGGGACCTGGTGGGACACACGGAAGCCAGATGACGTCAAAAGGGGAAGAGTCCGATAATACGGTGCAGAGTTGGTGCAGGAGACAAAAGGCAAACCGATCCACAGGAGATCAGCCATGAAATTATAAAAAATGATCGTGCTCTCCAAAATACTACAAATAAATACCCGATGTACAAATACAAAATGGTGCCTGGCTGTTGAGCTGCACGCGGCCTCCAGCAAACACACACGATCCAACCGCTCGGACCCTCACGACAGCACATGAGGCGGGCTGAAGGACACACGCCGTCCAGGCGTGGACCACGCATCCACGCAAACGTTCAACCGCTGTCCTCCAACCTCTCACACACACACACACACACACACACCTCAACACCTAATGTGAAACCAACCACGCGGCTACTGCTCGCTCATCGCACGCGGTGGGGCAGGTCGCGTGAGAACCCTTCACCAGGGAGGCCGCTGGCGGCGGTCTGTTGTCGCGACGACGCGGAGCGCCTGTGGGAGGGGCCACCGCGCGGACACGCAGGCCCCCCCCCCCTCAAATGACCCCCGGCAGAAGAAGGTGCGAGTGCACGACTCCTCACAAACAAGTGATGCGTTGCGACACTGACAGTCGTCGCGATGCCTTAATTGCTCCGGCGGCGGCGGGGACTCGCAGTGTGTCTGGATGCTGCCACTCACCCGCCGCCATGTGCGATGCCATTAAAAGCTGCTTCCCCGGGTCGGATAGCCGCGCGTCTCGGCACACGTTAGTCATGTAGGTGCATAAAGTGTGCGTTAAGGTGTGCTTGTGTGCGTCTCAGGCTGAGACGGTCCGTCAGTGACGGTCCGCCTCCACCAAGGTTACCCAAATTGTGCGCCCGCCTCCCGGCTACTGACACCCCCTTTGAATTTTGAATTTTTCATGTATTTTTCTGAAAGCGGTTTTAAAAAGACCTCGAGCGCTGACTAAGGGGCCTTTTCTGACACGTGCCGATATTCAGGGATTGATAAAGCCGAGCCATGATGAACAGCGTGTACGGGGAAGGACACGCGGCGAGAGCTCGGCCATGAAATGGAGCAGGCCGGCTTTGATGCTCTCCGTTAGCGTCGCCGCGCCGGCCCCGCCCAGGACGCACGCGCTACGTCGCTCATTGGCAGCGGCGGGCGCGAGCAGGAAAAAATGCAATATTAATTCCCCCCCCTATTATGTCTTAATGTGCAGTCCGTCTTGACTTGTGCTGTCATTTGCATATCCTCATTTCACAGTCATTATCCAACAAGCGCCGTCTTTTCTCCCCTTTTTCTGGGCATCGCTAATTTTGATGAACTATTTTGAAGGTCAGCGGCGCGGCCCCGTCTCGCTGACGTGCCGGCGCCGTACACGATGTGATGTATAGTCCCCGTCTAAACATGACATTTACCCCCCCCCACCCACCCTGTGCGCGCGCACCGAGGGTAAATAATAATGCACCCCCTTCCTTTTGAAGCTTTGCTTTAACTGCGTGCATTAAAAATCGACTCTATACTTGTCATGCTCTATTTTTTACTGCCGTGTTAAAGCTGTAAATTTAGCCTTATTTTCAAAAGTATAATCATTTTGTCATGCCACATTATAGCGAGTGTGATGGGAAGGGGAGCCCTAACTGCACCTTTTTCTTTTTTCTTTACACACACTTCAGCGCTCGATAGCTGCCGATTTAATTACAAATTACAGAGAGGTTTTCTTTCAATTCAACCGTTCTGATTCTTCACACCTTGGGTGTACATCTCATCATGGTTTCACACGTCGAGAGCGTCTGGCTCAGTGACTGCAGCTACAGCAGCTTCTTCTGTGCACGGCCGCAGCGAGACGCTATTACAGACCCCCATTTTATCACCCATTAGACCGAGGTCATTAGCAGCAAGAGGGATTGTGTGCTTTTTAACCTATTGATCAATGTAACTACTACCATTTAATCCTGTGCTGAAGGAGTGAAAATCTGCCTAAGACTGGGTCCCATTGGGAGGGAGCACTTCCACTGACAAATACGGCCCTGGCCGCTGCATCAGGCCCATTTAACGCCAACACATTTAGAGCACTCCCATATGGCGAGCCGCCTCGTCTAACGGACAACGTCGTGGCAACAGATGAGCCAGCGGAACGTATCGCCGTCTAAAGATAGCGTGAGAGGAGCCTCGCACCGGGACAATAAGTGGAGGGATGCACGGAGCCGAGAGGCCGGCTGGCCCAACAAACACACACCTGAGCTGAGGCGCGTTAACGGTGACAAGCACCGACGGGCAAATAGTGTAGCACCAAAACCGGTTTCCCGTGAACAGTGTGTTCAGTGTGAGAATGTTCAGAAATATGAAAACACACGAAACAAACATATAAAATGTAAAAAAAAAATATATACATATATAAACAAAAACATTCCTTGTGAAAAAGATCTGGATGATTCATATCATCATTTCCTGTCCAGCTGTGTGTGTTTCAGTTTACGTGCATTTGAAGGACACCAGCAAGTCCACTTCAAGAGGGGAGAGGACGAGGGACACAAAGCGCACATCGCACCACGTTAGACGGTCACACATTCAGAGCTAATGAAGATGCTCCCCTAGCAGCCCCCCCCCCACATCACATGTCAGAGGTCAAAGCCGGCGAGGAGGAGTAGGGGCGAGCGACGACGGGCGATAGCCCCCTTACCCGCCGCAAAGGCAATTAAAAGGGAAGAGAAAGGAGGGACGTTTCTACACGAGACGACACGGACGTTTCAGCGTGGAGAAAGAAAAAAAGAAAGAAGATTTATCATTTATATCATTTATTAAATTTTCATTTCAGCTCCCTGAGGTCGTCTTGTTTTGTAGGAGCATCAAATGGAAAAGTAAAAAAAAGGCATAACCGGCCCTGGAGAAATCAGTCCGTTTGATGCGGCTCTTTTACTTCCCGTACTGACCGCATGGAAACGTATCGCCGACGAGCGTTTCACGGCCCGTCGTCCTGCAGTGACGTGTGAACGCAATTAGTCGCGGACGAGACTGGAAAGTGTTTCCACAGCGCGCCGACCGGTCGATGGAAATCTCTAATAATAACTAGAATAATAATGAGAATAATGAGAATAGAATTGCAAGCAGCACATTCACACAGATAATCCGTTCCCTTAATCATTTAAAAAAAAGCAAACATAATCTGGTGCAGGACTCAATGTGAAGCAGCAACACCACCGGCGTGCTGCGTTCTTCAGTTCGTAGACGTAAGCGTTGATGGCGGCGTGAGTAAAGACCTCCTCGCTGCTTCCTCATCAACCACAATCAAGCTGTTTCAAAAATGTTTACGGCTCACATAAACAGGATAATCACCGGCACGTCGCGCCTCCGCTCACCAACACCCTGCTGCACCGGGGGGGGGGGGGGGGGGGCCGTGGATCAGGGGCTCAGATTGTGAGAGCAACTGTAAAAACAACGGTGGAGAATGTGTTTTAATTCACTTTTTTCCGTCCAGAATAAAACAAACAGGTTTCCTTCGCTGGTCGCCGCGTCGGCTTCAAACAAACAAACGGCTGCGCTGCCAGCTGCGGACGCCGCTTCCCTCGCGGGAGGCAGCCGGCGCCGCAGGTGACCCCCTGCTGGGGGGAGGGAGCGGAGGGCACACCGCCAACGCACCTCTGCATCGCCAGCATTTCACTATTGACTGGTTTCTAAGACCAAACAGTATCACTGTTAAAGCTTCAAACGACGCTGACATTTCCAAAAATAATCATTCGGGTTTTTGACCCCTGAAGCGGAACCAGGTGCTTCATTCACGACCACGCGGCGTTTTGAGCTACGAAACCTGGCTTACAAATGTGGGGTGACCGTTATCGTCCCACAGAGCAGCGCTCACCGTCCCCGAGACGCACGAGCGTCGCCGCCGGCGCGGACAGCGTGCTCGTGATCCAGAGGGGTTACGCAGCGGCGCACGCCGCTTTAATTAAGATCACAGCCCCCTAAAATCCCCTTTAAATTAAACTGTAGTCCAAAGACAACGGCCGACAGTTTGTACTCACACGGCAACGCAGAGACGAGTCCTTGTTTCCATGACGAGCCTCCTAATGCTGTGGCGTTAGGGGACTCGTATAAAAGTATACGGCCAATTAATACAGTTATATAGAAAAGACCCTCAGTCAAAGCGGCAGGTTTACTGCATCAATGAACGATCAACTTCACACAAAACACAAATACAAAATTACACAATTTTACAGGTGCAGCAACATTATCGCAGCACTTATTGTAAAAAAAATATATATATATATACACATATATATGTACAAATATATCTATCTATATATATATATATCTATATAGGTGGTGACAGATAAGTGGTGAAGAAGACCTTCTGCCATAAAACACGGTGTAATCTGGTTATGATCCTTTCAAACACACGGCATCTCAAGTGTGGAGTTAATCTCATCTGAAACACACTCACAAACCCGGAGCAATAATGACCCTTAAAAAGAGCAGAGAAGAAGAAAGAAAGCGAGAATGAATGACAGCCTGACCCTTCCTTTTCTTCTCCAAGTAAAAACAGGCTTCGGTGGGGGAAGCCGGGGAGTAAGAGCCCTGAGCAGCTGCTGGCTCACGATATCACCGCTAAACTATTCCCCCCGTGTCTCCGTCTCCGCTGCAGAGACCAGCCCGTCCCCCCCTCCACTCCACTCCGGTACCCGGCTAATATCTGGCTGCCTATGTCATGGTTTAGAAATGACAGGTGCTCGCAGCCCGTCGCCTTGACAGGCCACTGCACAAATAACGCCGCTGCCTGAAAGGGCTAATGCACTACTAATGAACAATAAATCAACTTTGATTACAAACTGTCAGCCCAATCAGCTCGCACTCCAGCTCTCCCAAACCGCGCGTCTCCGCACAGCTGCACGGCATTACGGTGCACGCTGCCCCCCCCGCCGGCTCCTCCATCGCTGCCTGTCGGCTCAGCCGCACACTTTCCTCTTCTGCAGCGACGCAGGGAGGCAAAAACTATTATTTGGGCGGCGAAACGGCGAACA